GCAGTGGGTGTTTACTTCTGAATCTACGATCTGCCACGTCTATTCAAACAGTGTTCTAATGAGGGGTTAAAACAGGACAGAAAATAGCTTTTAAATTATGATGTTTTTGATGTAAAAATATTGATAACATTATAAGTGGACCTCAGAGAACAGTACAAAATAAAAAAAATAGAGGCAGTTCAAGACCCCTTTAAAGCAGAAGCTCTGTTCTTTAAAGCAAAAGCTCTGTTTTCATTGCATGTTCAGATATTCATACAACAAAATATTCTGGGTGACATTAAACTTTTATGAAAATGATAAAAAATGCTGGCGGTGGCTGGCAACTTAAAAAAAAAAAAAGTTTTTCCCATGCGTTTTTAAAAAGTTTCACGTATACACAACGTTTTTAAAACGATGCGCGTTTACACAGATCCACGAAAAGAGCCAAAAACGCTATATTACGTATGCAAGTCCAGTAGTTGGCGCGGTCACCTTGTTAGTAAACAGTATCTGTTGCCGTGTGTATATGACGCGTCTCCGCTGTTGGTTGTAATATTGGTGAAGTAAATCCACACTTTGCTGAAGAAGCATTAGCAAACTCTTGAGCAGCAACAACAGCACCATATACTCCGCCATTGTTGTGTATGTTTGTTCGCGCTTGCCTTTAAAATCAACACGTACTGCGCATGTCTACATACCTAACACGTACTACGCACGCACATGACGTCACCGATTTCAAAGATTCCCGTATTGGGTGTTTACACGGAAACGATAACGGTGCCGTTTTCAAAAACTTGCACTCTGAAACCAGTTTTCAAAAATATGCGTTTTCAGTCCCCAAAATGCCGTTGTTGTGTAAACGAACAGTCAAAACGCATAAAAAGTTTCCCGTTTTTGGCTGAAAACTTTGTCGTGTAAACGGCCCCTTAGACTGCTGTCACTTTAAGAGCTGCCCAGATCCAAAATACTGTTACACATGTGTTTTCTTTCTCAGCTGTTTGCTTTCACTTAAGACCTAAATTACTGTGTTTATGAGGATACTTGCACAGATGGGCATTTTGACATACAAGTGTGTGTAACCGTTCAAGGCCTATAAAATGGCCTCTCTGACAGCGCTCAGAAACGGAGTCTCACACACAGAGTGTGCATATAGGGAAAGGAGTTCTCTTTCGCTGCTGATTGCGTTTCAACAGATTAAAATCACTTGTATTTAAAGTGCAATGCTTAATGTACTTGGAGTGTGCACCAAGTGCTAGGAAAATAAAAGTACTGGAATGGGACTCGGTATCGACAGATACTCAATATTCAATGACTCGAATCGGATTGGGCACAAAAAACCTGATCGGAACATCCCTAAAATAAAACATCATCTAAAAAGTTTAATCTTCTGTTTAATCAATCTGCTGTGTAACACAACATTCTATTTGAACTGTTCTGATGCTCTAAATAGCAGAAGAACATGTGAAGACTGAGTGCTGGTGTCCGTAATGAGGCCGGCTAATGTCTGCCATGCTTTACTGAGCAGATCTACTGCTCCCATCACATCAACCTTCATTATCGACTCATTCTATTAACATATGCAAATCCACAAACGCCTCAAAATCTCACAGAAGGAGCGTGTGGGAGAAAGCAGAGCAGATGAAGGCCTCTTGTCAGCCCGGCGCTGGTCTGGTCATATGTGGGAGGCCTTAATGATGCAGTTAGCCACGTCTAGGCAGATGGAAAGAGGCCAATCGGTGTGTTAAAGGACATGCACCTCTGAAACACGCAGGAAGTAATGAGAGCATCACAGGGATGAAAACCGCTGGTAAACTCCACTAATAATAGACCTAATGACCCCAGCAACAACAGCAGGTCAAGGTCAGGGTGGGACGTGATCAAAATGATCATGCTTGCGGTTTTCTTTTAAGCTGGAAATTGTGAATAACATCTCTGCTTCGCAGCACTGGTCTTCAAATCTGCTCGGTTTGAAGAATATTTTTCATTTCATGAGCAATATGTGCATAAACGGAAAATTAAAAGAACATAGGGAAGCGAATGAAACTCGCATTACGATACCGGTCACTAATTAAGAATTAACGGTGCCATCTATTTCAGTTTCTGACAGGTAATTAAGGCTTGTGCAAAAGTAGATAAATCAACAACATTCATAGCTTATTTATAACTAATTAGCATCTAATAACTCTTGTGTTTGCTGTCAGCGTGCTATTTAGACTGTGAGCTATACGTCTGAATGCATGCCGCAAGAACTGTGACATTTAATTAAGATAAGGTTGGGCCTTGTAGTCAGGATCAGGGCCAATCAGATTGTGCTTCAGCTTCACTTGTTGCACTCGTGAATTACAAAAAGTTCTGCTGAGATGAGCCATCTGTTATTCTCAGAGAACACCACAAGATACATTTAATATCCTAATCATTTGCAAGGTGTGCTAATGTAATTAATTTTCTTAATGATTTGCTCTTAATGGATGGGCAGGAATATTCATTTGAGCTACTATAAACCTTACAGAATACTTTAGTGACAATCTGTGGGGTTCAAAAAAATTGTTTTCAGATATTTAAAAAAAATAATTTTGTAAAAATAGCTAAATTAAAATTAAAAAATTGTTGTGTGCATTTATATTCAAAATGCATGATATTAAATATTATACAAAATATAGTGTAATTAAAATAATTATGATTCCCAGATCCTTCTGTGGGCTCAGGGGAAGCTCCTCTCTCTAAGAGCAGTTTATATCTCTGGGTATCTAAATCAGGGGGCCGATATCTTGTCGAGACAGGGGCTGAGGCCAGGGGATGGAGGCTCCACCCCGAATATAATATAATATAATATAATATATGTTTTATTTATAGTAACTTATTCAGCCTTGTAAGCCCTTGTTAGTGCTGACAAATGTAAGTTTTTCTTGTTTTTATACAGCAAGCTTTGGAAATCTATTATGATTGGCAGTTGGAAAGTTTGAGATGTCATGAATTGCTGGTTTTGACAGTCAGAATGACCACGTCAGCTATTTCCCAGCACAATGACGCAAACAGTGGCTGAATAAAGAATAATAAAACTGCCAAAACACGGACAGCAGTGTGTGGACATGCCACTGAAATATGCCAGCGCTACAGCGCAGTGGGTTTGTGCTCATAATGCATTAAAATGGCTTGATTGTGGCTTTCTTTGAGGAGAACATGGTCAAGCACCTCCCCAGAGCCACACACATATGCACACCAGATTCTTTTCTGTTGCCGTGTTACCATCTTGTTCGCTTTACTTTAGCTGCTCTATTTTGGTTAGTTTGGCAACAATTTCTATGACAACAAGCCTTAGGAGCGCCCTAATGAGAGACGTCAGCAGCCTGGAGGAAAGCACGCCACTGTCACGCTCTAATCTTCCCTCAGCTTTCTTTACCCCCCTCATCTACAGTAAATTAGCAAACCAATTAAAAGGCAGCCACCTCCAGTCACCAGCTTTATTCTGGAACTGAAAATAATAATAAAACAAAGTATGGTTGTCTTTCTATACTAAGCTCAGGTGCTTTATTGAATATTCACAGTAAATTAATGATGATTTAGCTGGCCATACAAGATCAAAGAACATTGGAATGATTTTAATTCGCTTTTTATTTGGTCTTTAATACATGCTTCGTAACAGCATCTCTCATTTAAGCTTTAACAGCAATTAAACAATCAACAAAAGCCAAGTTCTGTGAATCAACTCAAACAGACTCTGACTCTTCACATTATACTGTTATTGACCATAACCATAATGAGAAAATGCAATACTGATATCATGTTAATACTACACACGTGATAATGAATAACCAAACCAGTTCTACAGATGATATTATGGTTATCATAAATTATTTTGGCCACGATAATTGCCTAGTAAAAATCTGATATCATGGGCAGCCCTACTTTGATTCAATGATTCATCTGAAATATCAGTCAGTCATATTGAGACATAAGAATGATAATAATTGGATAAAATTTTTTAAAATAAAATAAAAAAAAAATAAATAAAAAAAGTTTCATTTATATAGTACAATTTGTAAAATATGGAAAGCAATGCCTAGTTTAATGTCAAATGGACAGTTGGTGAATTTGATTCATTTCTGTGAACTGTTTGTGAATAAGTTCACACTGTAATGAATTGATTTAAACTCAATTCATAGTTTAATCTGGATCACTCAAAATTGTTTAAAAAAAAATGAGTCGCCATGTGTCATTTTGATTCATTTCTGTGATTCAGTTTAATTTGTAATGATTCGTTTCAAAACACTGTTAAAGATTCATTTGTCATCATTCAAAACTGAGAAAAAGGAGTCTCGTTTTACATATTAAAATGTTTCAGTAAAAATTTTCTGTAACACTTGAAGTCTTTACATATGTATTAATAATGTATATTGTAATGTTTTATATATTTTCATAAATAACAGTAACCAAATTTAAAATGCATTATATTTGTAGATTTTTTTAATTGGTAGTTTGTCATGTGTTTTAATGCATTTTAACAATTAATACAGTAGTTAAGTATTATAATGAATATTAAAATGAATGAACTGAGGTTGCAATTATTGTGATCTTACAATCATTATAAGGTGTATTGCAAAGCATAATTAATGCATTAAAATACTTCATATATGAAGCATTCAAGTGTTACCAGATCTTATTCAATACTTTGTATTTACAATATATATATTGATGCGTATAAATTAAAATAAATATAATTTAAATATCAACAATGCAAAAAAATGCCTCGCTTCTCCCACAAAATAAAAATAAATAAATAAATAAATAAAGAGTAAAGAAATGAACATTCAAAAATTTAGTTAAAATTAAAATAAAAAATAAAAAATAAAATTAAGGAAGCAAAACCCTTTGTAACTCAATACTTTTTAGCCGTAAGCCAGTAAGTGTCACTGGGACGCGCCGCCTCTGTTTTTGATGGTCCGCCCTGACCCTGTCAGACAGATATGAGTATCGCTGCGCCATCAGAGGTGGTAATTCATTACTGCTTCACAGTGGCTCACCTGCGCAGCGCGTCCTCCGGTCCCGGCGCGGCGCGCTAACGAGAGATGACAGGGTGGCGAGAGCGCGAGGCGAGGCTGAATGTGTTCATTAGGAAGAGGATGACAGGTGCTGAGAGGAGAACAGCGACTGGCCTCTCTGATCAGAAGGGCACAGCTGGATTTCTCAGGGTGTCCACCTGAGACGCGACCCACCTGCCTGTCAGCCAAAGCAGATGTTCCACACCTCACAGGCGCTTGATTCATTATTCAACTGATTGATTTAATGGGGTCATTTCATCTATGGTTGACCATGAGATGATATGATTTAAAAGATGATTTGCTCATGAATTTCTGCAACCTGGAACATTCTTTTAAGGGTTAATGAATACATTCTTGCATCTAAAAAACACATTCTATAAACTACTATTGTGTGTCTTTCATGATTTCCCTCTCATTCCCTTCAGTTTGTATCGACAGTATCCAGTCAATCTCATTTTATCCGGTTCTTTTCTTTGAGTTATTGTTCTTTGTTGTTTCTTGGATCTTGTGTGTCTTCATCCTCCTTTACTCAAACGCATCTGTCTTTCCCTCTTAGTCTGTCACTTCTCTGTCGCTGCCTCCTAGTCCTGTTATAGATCTTCCTCTTCCTCTGTGTGACACCCTCCATTTACTGACATTTCAATTGTCATGCTTACCGTCTCTTTCTGTTTCCCTCATTCTCTTCCCTCAGCATTCACTCCATAAAGGAATATGACACCGGGTGGAGCAGCTATCAGAGAAAAATACTTCTCGTTTAAAGCAAGATGGATCTAGCCAGGAAAAGCAAAATGAACAATGGACTTAAATAAGTATTTGGCGGGAAAAATAACGTGTGATTTCTCTAGGGAATGTAGCTTTAAGTACAGGTATGTCAACATAAAACGCTGATATACGAGTAGTTATGTAAAGGAAATACTTTTGAAAAGCTGACGTCACAGGGCTCCAGTCAAAAAAACTAAAAAAATCAACTAAGGCGCCATTGGCTCCTATAAGAAACAAAATTAAGCCTATTTATTTTTTAACACTTTTAACATTTCAATCATACTGTCATGTGTTTATGTCTCATCTTTTCTTGTCTTTATCAGCATTTTAATCCATTTTGTAGATGTCCTAGGAAGTGGGAACCAAATGTCTTTTCCAACTTGAGAACTATATACAGTCACAAAGAATTGTTTATTACACAGAATCTGTACCAATATCATGGACCATAACCGTCAGCATCACTTGGCCACTGAGTGTAGTTTGGGCTCCTCCTCGATGCATCCTATAAATGCTGTTATATGTCTTTCACACATTCAGTCTGTTTTTCTTCATTAGTAACATGCAGTTTTATAGGAGGTGTTGAATTTTACAATATCTTTAGCTCCTTGCATTGTTTCTCGTCATGTAGACAACAGGTTAAGTAAAAATATGAATATGTAATATAGCGCATAAATTTAGCAAAATGCTCCACTTTATAGTTTTTTCTAGCTGATTTATGAGCTTATAAGTTTATTCTAGGGTAAATGTGCTGTTACGTGGCATTGTTTACAAGTTTTATATGGTTTCCGCATACGTTTTGTTTATTTTGTACTACAGTAGTAAAGAGAAAGATATGATGGGTTCATGTGCCGCTTGGACTGAGGCGCTAAAGCGATTGCTTATGTCGCATCAAGGAATGCCAAAACCATATTTATTGTTTGAATTTCGTTATGAATTTGGCAGAATTTTAAAGCTGATACTTTGTTTATTAGAAGGTAACAAAGCACAAAGCTTATTGCGATCATTGGACAGCAAGTGTGCTACAAATAATATGAAGTTCACGCATTGACAGAACACAGCATATAGATTATAGAGCTTGAAAACAAGAGGCCATATTAGCATCGATTATACACGAGAATTGTTAACGATATTGTTAATGTCCACACAGCTGACAGCTTTACCTGTTGTAGTTTGTTCAAGTTGTGCATGACATAGACACTGCTTTTCTGCACTTTTACCTTGCACGTCTCTGTCATTTTCCATCTCTCTCGTGCTGCACAACTGGAGCTGCTTTTAGCAGGTGTGCCGTCAGCGCTGGCGTTCGGCAGACATGAGGACTGTTTGAAAGTCTTCTTTTCCACTAAAACTTTGATGCGCATCGTATCAGTTTATTACGTCAACATAACAAAAGATGTGATCGCAAACGAATCAGGAAAAAAGGCATTACATGCAAATAACATGTACATTTCTATAGTCGCCAGTGGCGCCCTCAGCAAAAATCTCACTCGCAAATTAAGGCCACGTTCTCACAGCAGCAGAATACAGTTGTCAGTCCTGTATTTGAGTCCTTAATGCGGTTACGTTCACACACAGTTCGGTTATTTACGAGCGTGACAACCGCATGCTGTAACCGAACTCACACCCGTAAATTTTCAGGATTCACAACCGCATTCTCAGAAAACACGCGCTGTGGAACCGGACTGGACAACTAGCGTCTGTCACGTCATACAGTGCGAGAGAGCTGCTCTGCTGCACAAATGTGTCTAACATGTGTTACGTGTTTTCATGTGTGATTTCGGTAACTTACAGCAGCGGAGAAATGAGTGGTGTGTCATCTGAAAGTTTTAGATCCCGTCAGTTTTCCACCGGAGCCGCTCCCATCGGTTTTATGTTCTGCGCGCTACTTAAATGCTCCGCTCTCCACCCAAATATAAAAGCCGCTGTCGGTTAATGAAGATTTGAAGGAAAAACTCGCGGCTCGATTGGACTCTTGTCGTGTCAGAAATTGATAAGACTTTCAGTTTTATGGACGTTGCCATCTTTGATTTTACTTTGGTCACTGTCGCTATGGTTACTAGTAAGGAATACGGGCTTGACTCTCGTTGCACGTTCATACAGTATTCTAAACACAACTGTAAGCTGCTGTGTGAACGGGACATTTCGAGACTCACACCTGTAAAGAAAGTGCGGTTGTCAATCCCAAAAACTGACAGTGTGAACGTAGCCTAAGATTTTTGGTCACCAATGCGACTGTTTTAGTCATAGTCTGGAGCCCTGCATCATGCGTTGTGATACCTGTATGCTATACTTTATATAAAACTATTTTAAACAGAATTTTGCTGTTTATATACAGTGGGTACGGAAAGTATTCAGACCCCCTTAAATTTTTCACTCTTTGTTATATTGCAGCCATTTGCTAAAATCATTTAAGTTAATTTTTTTTCCTCATTAATGTACACACAGCACCCCATATTGACAGAAAAACACAGAATCGTTGACATTTTTGCAGATTTATTAAAAAAGAAAAACTGAAATATCACATGGTCCTAAGTATTCAGACCCTTTGCTCAGTATTTAGTAGAAGCACCCTTTTGATCTAATACAGCCATGAGTCTTTTTGGGAAAGATGCAACAAGTTTTTCACACCTGGATTTGGGGATCCTCTGCCATTTCTCCTTGCAGATCCTCTCCAGTTCTGTCAGGTTGGATGGTAAACGTTGGTGGACAGCCATTTTTAGGTCTCTCCAGAGATGCTCAATTGGGTTTAAGTCAGGGCTCTGGCTGGGCCATTCAAGAACAGTCACAGAGTTGTTG